AAATTAAATTAAGCATTCACCCAAACAAATGGTCCTCCAAATATTCTTTTATTTTAAAAATATGAAAAGTAAATATCGCCTCCTTACTTAAAACTATATTTGTTATTTCTACTATTCATTTTCTTTATTTAGTAGTTGAAAGATCATAAAATTCTTTCAGTACATATGCTTCCTATTAATCTTCATCCTATTCAACTATTTCACTCGGAATAACACAAAATTTATCTTATTATTCAGTGTAATCAGGGCAATTATTAAAGCATAATCCATTGTATAAATAATAACTATTTTGAAAGACTTTTCAAGTATTTTTATTTTTGCATTCTTAACAATTCAATGCACATACTAAATATTATATTATAGAATTATTTTATTTTACATTATTTAATATCAAGATAATGTCTTTTTAAATAAAAGAATATTTAATAATATCTTAATAGTTGGAATAGTAGATAAATGTTGATATTTCACAATTTATAGACTAAAAGTATTTACACTTATTGGTTAATTTATTTCAACCAAAATTTCATTATATAATCTTTTTAAGTAACTTGATTTTGATCCAGGTTCTGATCTTATACTATATATTTACTTATCTACTAAGTTTATTCTCCATTAATTAAAAGATTCACAAAATTTTTATCCTATAATTCTATTTTAACTGTTATTCTCAATAATATAGTAGATGTATCTAACTAACCAGAAACCTTATATCCTTCCTAACCTTTTGTTAGCTTTGAATCATCATCATACTTTGATTCTTATAACATACTTTATCAAGGTCATAATCATACTCATCTGGACATTAAATAACACAACCTTGTGAAATTTATAAAAAGGTCATACTATTCTAGTATTTGCAAGACTAGCAAGTATTGGAAATTAAAGGTATCTGATCATAGCATGAAAGACATTTATTCATTGTTTCTTAACAGGTTTTACATGTTTTATAACATTTATATTAGAAGATTTATAAATTTCTAAATAGATAAGATTCGTTATTGAAATCTTCATCCAGTGTGCTTATCAATTATATTTTGAGTGTTGATGAAGTTTGAAGGATATCTTTATAAACTGTATTGCGTATTTAATAATTAAAACCTTAATTATAATTATAACATTAAAATGATTTTCCTATTGGTTAAGATTTATATGGACTAAACAAAGTTTGTGCTTTCCAAATTTGAGTTTAACCTATTGCAATAACAAGATATTCATCACCATCTAAACTACCATAACCATATATATCTATATATAATTATACTTAATATTTATAGATAATTTATTCTATGAGGGTCAATTATATAGTTAATAATGGAGTGATATATTCTTAATTTCATACGTAATTTCTTTACATCTTTTATCAACCTTTATTAAATCCATTCCACTTTAACATGAGTAAATTTCAGGCTATAATGAATTTTGGCATTTCCAATCATTCCAATTATTCCAATTTAATCCTTTTATTTAGTTAAAGTTTTCATACAGTTATTATATTTAACATTTTACCCATGGATTAGCAATGAAAAGAAGCAAAAGACGAAAAAACATTTTATGATGATATTATAATATTAAATATTTTACATAAAATTTCGATCCTTTTAAATATAATATATGGAATAGAATAATAGAGTTGTTATTAACCATTTAAAATTATTTATTATTCTTTCAAAATGTTTATAGTTGGCTCAGGATCAGAAGAATTCAATCCAGTAATTGATTGCAAACAGGATTCATCATATTCGATGTCACAACTACCATTTTTGTTGTTTTCTGAACATTAAGTAATTGCCACAGACTTTCAATTAAGAGTTGTATATTGATTAATGATTGATCTACTTAAAAATTTAATTACTGATCCAACTTAAACTATAACAAAAAGTGGATTAAAAACAAGCCCCTTTAGTATAATCCTTCTTTATGTGCTGATCCATCAACAAACATAGGTCAATTCAATCCTTCTACATTCGAAATTTTTTATTCCATTTCCCTTCTGCTCTTATAGTAAAATCTCTTTTTTGGGTTTGCATTCAGTGTGAAATGTTTCACCTAAATATTTATGAATTATACCATCCCATCCATATTGTCGTACAATTCAGTAAGTACTATTTAAATTATGCTTCTGTATTCAAAAAATTTGGTGCTTTAGAAATTTTTTTATTGTCTAATTAATTTGATTTTAAAATTTTCTATACAATATCCTGGATTTATGTCTGTCCATTCAAATTATTCCTCTACTATCAAGTTTAATCATAAATTTTGTAAAATCCAAAGTACATCCAGCCAAATAAGCATTACATTCGTCTGCAGTTGTTATTTCATCTGGAGCATTTTTCACATAATTTTGTAATGCAAGCTGTTCATGTACAATAGCACGGATATCTAGTCTTATTAAAATGACATTGCTTTTGTGTGGAAAATTTGGAGTTTTAACTCAAAGAAATAAAAATTATTTATCACTTATTGAGAGATTAAGACATAAACATCTAAATTAACATCTGTAAAGATATTTAAGAATAAATAGAGGGTGGAGATAATGGAAAAAAATGATTAAATACTAGTCATTGATATTATAATATTATATATTAAAGAATATTTAAACATATAAATGATAATGTCTGCCACATATTTTAGAATGTCTTGTACTATTAGATTTAATTTAAATTTTCTCATCATGTGGGAAATGGAGCCCCC